CTCCTTTCCCCTTCTCCCTCCTCTTTCTCTCGCCCCGTAACTATTTTCTTTCTCTCTCTCTCTCTCCCGCCTTGCTCTCTGCGCGCCCCTTTTCCTTTTTTGATCATCTGAATCTTGGACCCGTCTTGCGCCACTTCTCGCCCCTTTTTCTCCCCTCCTCCTCTGAGTCTGGCGCCCGACGCCCGGTTGATCCATCGATAACTCCCGCTCGCCAATCGGGTGCGTGGAGCAATAAGACCTTCCTATTGCGCGGCGAATCTGATTGGTTGAACCTTGAGTTTCGAGGGATCAACAAGGCGTTCGTAGAGCATTCTTCTCAAAGTCTTCTCCTCCTGCTTCTCCTCTTACACCTCAGTTTTCCCGTCGCTTTCTCCCCCTTCTATCTCCCCTGTCGCAACTATAAAACCCGCAAGCACGTTCGCAAATCTCTCTTACGCTCTCGACTCTCAAGCCATCTTCCGGGAAGCAGTGGCTAGGCAGAGTGTTTGATGTGAGTCGGAAAGTCCTGTCGGGCTGACGATAGGCTGGGCGGTTGCACGCTGGATCGCCACGACGGATTGTGGGATCTGGGCGAACCGTGTCGAGTCTACGACAGCGGGGTGACGATTGCAATGGTGAGAGTTAGCACGTGGCGGCCGGGATCATCGGTGCGGGTATGAGGATCGATGATTGGAGTTGAGTGAGTTATTGGCCGGGGGCCATATTGGAATTAACGGCGAATGCGCCTTTGTTGTTGCGGATCTTTCTCTCACTTCCTTCTTTTGGCTTGCGTCATCTCCTATCTAGACTCTCTCCCCCCTCACCTTCCCCTTCTCCTCTATCTTTGAATAATGATGTGTCTCGATGCTTCTCTTGCTCTCTCTCTTTCCCTCTTCTGGATGAGCATGAAGCTGTATACTTTCCTTGCATGAAAGAACTTCTTTCGGAACTCTTTCATTAGTTTCCTGGGTAATCCTCCTGCACAAGGGCCCCGTCTTCTTGTCTTTTGAACGGTGGATGCGTGTGTACTGTGCAAGCAATCCATCTTTTCCTGTGCATGGCTCATTTTTCGCATCTTCCACAGTGAATGAATGTATGGAAATGTGCGTCTCTTTGGCGTTGATTAAACGATTGTCGTCGGGATTTTGTCCAAGAATGCAAGAGTGTTTAGATTTGTAGCTCTGAGTGCACTGCGCATGCCATCTGCCTTATGCTGTCCGACATCAGCAGCCGAACCACGAGGCGGCCTCGAGAAACAAGGCGCCAGGGATCAACATCGTGCTGGCTAACTAAACCTGAGTCGCGGATCGGTCCCTTAGTTATATGCATGATTAAGCTGCCGAAGTGTCTTTTTTTTTTTTCTCTCTCTCTCGTAATGAAGGAGATTGTTTATGAGTTGGGCGAGTGTTTTCTTTTTGATGACGTCGCAAGGTTTCTACAATTGAAGGATATGTGGACTGACCAGTACCCTCCGATCGGGCACCAGCTTCCCGTACCTCCCGTCCCAACACGGCCTTTTCCCTATAACGAGGGAAGGACACGTGTATGTGAGTGGGACGTACGAGAAGCTGGTGCACAAATCGGCGGAGGATACTACTTCCCTCCGGCAAATCGTTGTTCAGGGCTCGTAGAGGCTGGGTTTGTGATTATCGATACGCACTTTCCACCTTACTCGATATTGTTGCCATTCAACGAGTTGATCGTCATCCCGTGGACGGCAGTAGAACCCCACTGGCTGCGCACTTTATGCACCGAATGCCAGCGTTTTGAGCGCTACGAATCCAGGGGTTTCCATTACCGTGTGCGGAGTGAAGATGGGCATAAAGAAAGAGCCACACGACTGAGACCATCCACGTCGGACTCGGAACTGGCCATCGAACGACGACGAGATTTGATACGAAAACGAGACACGCGGAGCATGCCAAAGCCTTTCCATTCTAAACGACGGGCTGTAGCCCGGTGGGAAGCCCGACAATACTTTTTGGATTGAATTTGGATTTTTCTCTTTTCGCGCCGTGCCCGCGCGCGCATTCCGCGACGCGCGGAAGCAATCGACTTGCTTCATTAGACCAACACGGGGGATTTCAGTTCCATCTGTGTCCCCACACTCAATTTCCAAAAATCCTTGGCACACCCCATCTTGCTGTTTTTCTGGGCCTCTTTCCGCACGCCTAACACTCCGAACGAAAGACAGCACAGGGCGTGAGGTTTTGCGCGTCATACACGCACATGCACACGCACACACACATTTACACGCACACACACACGCACACGCACACGCACACGCACACGCCCACGCCCAGAACGTAAATCCACCCCTCCCTTTTCCCACAACCATGTGTTATTGCCATCCCGCCAATATCTTTGCTTAAAAATTTTCTATCATTTTTTGAAAGTTAACTAAAAAGAATAAGGAATTTGGGGTAACCTTTAACCGCAAATTCCAAACCCCGCACCTCCTCAGGCCTCTGACAAAAGGGTTCACGAATGAGTAGTTTGTCACGCCGGGGCCGATTCCTGGCTTGATAATTATGATAGCTCCTTTTTCAACAAAAAAAAAAAGAAAATGCAAACTGGGTGTGACTGCCTCGGTACACTATTTTCTGGGGATTTGGGGACTATGCCGATTTGGTTCCGCAGTGTGAGACTTTGGGTCTCGCTCCACCACTCTAGACTCTCCAAGATTTTGGAGAGTGAGTCTAGAGCTGTCAGACTCTAGAAACGACTGAAAAAGAGAACATCGCTCCACTAACTCTAGAAGGTCGAACTCGAGAAGGCCTCTCGGATGTCAGACCGCTCTTTGAGAGAGCTACACGACACGGCCAGCACGTTGTTGTCCGCCCAGACTCCAGGTGCACCCCAAAAGAAAACTCAACTTTCGAAGGTCGTGGAGGCCTCCCTTGAAATTCCCGCCGCTGCAGGCGGGCGCTCTCGAAACGTCAAGAGTGCCACAGGAGAGGAGGTTCTGACAACTCAAGAAAAGCATTTTCATGAGTGTGTTTCACGAGGTATTGGAGCGACGACGGATTCTCGCCATTTTCATGAGTAGAGACTGACAGCTCAAGAACCCGAATTCCAGACCCGGGGTCTAGAGCAAGTGGAGCGGTGCCATGCTTTAGAAATGGCCGGTAGAGTAGTGGAGCGAGAAGCACTACTCTAGATTCAAGCTTTTTCTTGAGTGGGGCATGGCTGCACTAACTCAAAAAATGGGCGCTGGAAAACCTGTTCTCAAGCTGTCAGAACGACTTCAGAAAAGTAATAGAGTCATTTCTCCACTTACTCGATAAGTTTGCTATAGATTTTTCACTCGAGAAATGAAAAATCTAGAGCACCAGCCTGCAAAGGCTGTTTTTTCAAGGGAGGTCCGGACGACCCTTGAAATGCCTTTGGCTTTCCTTGAGTGGGCCTTGAGTCTGGAAGGACAACCCAGGCTGGTGCTGTCCTGTAGTGAAATGGCCAAACTCAGAAAGTGACGGAGCAACTCTATCTTTTCTAGAGTCTAGAGCTAGTGCCGTAGATTTTAGGACTTTTCGTGACTCTGACATCTCTTTCACGAGTCTAGAGTAGTGCAGTGCAGCGAGCCCTTCTGTTTCTCCATTTTGTTTTTTTTCGAGAATATGGACAAACTCAGATTGCCCCCGTTTTTTTCCCGTTCGATTTTATTTTGGGCAGCATTTGTTTCTCTCTTTTTGCATTTGTTTTTTTTTCGAACTTCTTCACTCACAATAGCCGTAAAAATAGGAAAAAGGCTTTGAGCAGCGTTTGTTTCTTACAATAGCCGTGTCACGCGGTAGAGTCGCTCCACTCTACGGTGTAGGTGGGACATGGCGAGCTGCCGCGACCGGCGCCAACCACACTATTTTCCCAAATCAGGCCATCCGTTTTTTTTTTTTTTTGAGATTATGCGGATTCGCTACCGCAAGCGTCTGCCCTGAGCATCAGATGCGATCCGTTGGCGGGGCCATGTGGGGTTGTCCATGTGATTGCCATAAAGTCCTAACTGATGAGTTGGCGGGATGCATTTTGACGTCGTTGGGTTTTTACACCACTGGATGCACATGGTTGTGGGAAAAGGGAGGGTGGATTTACGTTCTGGGCGTGTATATCCTGTTCTGTGCCTGTGCCTGTGCGTGTGCGTGTGCGTGTGCGTGTCTGTGTGACCCTGTATGACGCGAAGGGCGCCCTCGTCGTCTCTTCGCCAGCGCTCTCCATACGGAGATCCCTCGGGCAGCCGCTATCGCTGGTGCTATCGCTGGTGCTGCTGACCTCATCGCGAATCCGAAGGGTCATCGGTCTCCGTGCAGGAGCTGGGTTCCACCTTGATTGATTGGTAAGTGTTTAATTTGCTGTCGGCAAGAGTAATCAAGAAAAGGAGGAGGGGGAAAAAGGGAAAGGAGTCGTCAAGAGAAAGGAGGGGGCAAAAATGGAGGAAACGAGAGATTGAGAGACGGGTACCATACCCAAGGAAGGCACCAGGCGCGTAAAAATGTTGTTTTTTTGGGCTCTTTTTTTTCTTCTCTTTCTGGACATGCCTTGCCTCAAGTCCTCAAAAGCTGTCCTTCGGGAGGAACATCCGTGACAATTGGAACGATACAGAGAAGGGAAGGGTAGCATGGCGCCTGCGCAAGGATGAGACGCATAAATCGAGAAATGGTCCAAAAAAAAAAAAGAGAGAAAAAAAACGTAATTTGTATATTTCCAACTGTGACGGATGCCCCGAAGGACCAGGCGCGTAATGTTTTGTATTTTTAATTTTCCAAACCCAGGCGCGTAAATTACTGAATCGCGAGATGAAGGGAAAAAAAAAAGAAAAGGGAAAGAAGAAGAAGAAGAAGAAGATGAAAGTGACAAGCAATGTCCTTCGGGACGTCCTTGCGCAATGTCATCCTTGCGCAGTGGCTATGCTAATCGAGAGAAGAGAAGATTAGCATGGCCCCTGCGCAAGTAAAAGGGACAAGCGGTGGACAAATTGCTTCCGAAACACGCTTCGATAGATTAGAATACAAGCTTGCTCGAATCCTTCACCATGGATCACGAGGATCGAGGCTAGAAACACAGAATCCAGGTAAGTGCGACCTTGCCCCAGCTTTGATAATTTGGTGTTATCTTCTTTCTTCACTCCGCTGAGGTCAGATACCAAGTTGATGACGATTCTCTCTCTCTCTCTCTCTCTCTCTCTCTCTCTCTCTCTCTCTCTCTCTCTCTCTCTCTCTGTGTGAGAATATAGCAAAGATGAAGAAAAGGAGCTAGGAGCGGGGAAGAGCAAGAGAGAGAGAGAACAGGAGCTAGGAGCGGGGATGAGCAAGAGAGAGAGAGAAGAGGAGCTAGGAGCGGGATGAGCACGAGAGAGAGAGAGAGAGAGAGAGAGAGAGAGAGAGAGAGAGAGAGAGAGAGAGAGAGAGAGAGAGAAAGAGATTTCGACAAGGGCCTCGGAGGTGGTGTAAAAATCGAGTCCTTCAGAGACATCTGTTTACGTTTGTATTTTTCTGTTTTTTTGGTTGCGAGTATGGCACGTGTGCGCGCGCGCGCGCGCGAGCGAGCGAGCGAGCGAGCGAGCGAGCGAGCGAGAGAGAGAGAGAGAGAGAGAGAGAGAGAGAGAGAGAGAGAGAGAGAGAGAGAGAGAGCAGATCGGCATTTACGAGTTGTGTACCACTGGGTTTGACATCCCATTTATCACGAATCTCTGTTTCTGGCCGTTTATGATCTAGAACAAAGAATCCAGCCCAGTGTAACCTCGCCTCGGGTGCCTGTTGGCGTGTTCTGATCGAGAGGAAAACCGAAATATGACAACATAGAGGAGAAGGAGACTTAAATTGCCGGGTGTGGGTGCGCACGGTAGGTCGCCTCTTTTCCTTTTTTTTTGGGATGCTATGTTGAAGAAATGATGTGAAGATGAGGCAAAACACAGAAGGGCCAAGGTCCCTCACGCCTGAATCCTTCACCGTGGATCACGACGATCGAGGCTAGAAACACGGAATCCAGGTAAGTGAGACCGTGCCCCAGCTTTGATAATCGGTGTTATCTTCTTTCTCCACTAGGCAGAGGTCAGATTCCAAGGTTATGACGACTCTCTCTCTCTCTCTCTCTCTCTCTCTCTCTCTCTCTCTCTCTCTCTCTGTGTCTGTGTGTCTGTGTGTCTCTCTCTCTTTGCGTCTCCCTTTTCCATTCTCGGTCAAACACAAGGCTGATGACGTTTATGCTGGTGATGAGGACTGCTGTGTTCGTGATTAGCACTGGCATAGCATGGCGGTTGAGCAGGAGAATAGTGATAGAAAAATGGAAGAGAGTCTGACGTGGATGATGGAAATGGCAGATAGAGATTCGTGTTTACCATTTTCACCAAGCGAGTATGCTCACTATGGAACCGACAACCTGTAGGAACAGACCTTAATTCTGTCGTATCTACCATGATGATGATGATGATGATGATGATGATGATGGAGGAGGGGAAGCCGAGGAGGAAAAGACGAAGGGGAAGAGAAGCGGACGAACCAGAGTGAGCAGTGTAGTGTGCATGAGTCAGCAGAGAAGTAAGAATGCGCGTGTGTGGCCGTTCTCAGCTTTCGTGCATTTTCTCAACAGGTTCCTCCTAAATGATTGCACTGCAGTCCGTCTGGAGGATGTCCATATCCCGTCCTGCTTCTTATCAGGGTCACTACAATCTCGGCGGTGCGGTTGATACTACAGCAGCAGCAGCAGCAGCAGCAGCAGCAGCAGCAGCAGAAGAAGAAGAAGAAGAAGAAGAAGAAGAAGAAGAAGAGAAAAGAAGGATAGAAAGAAGGAAAGAAAGAAAGAAGAGAGACAATCAGTTATTTTTCCCTGCCGGTGTGATACTTCATGGGCCTCGGGGGGTGCCGCGGCCTACATCGCCGCAGCCGCAGCCGCAGCAGCAGCAGCAGCAGCAGCAGCAGAAAGAAGAAGAAGAGGAAGAAGAAGAAAGATAGAAAGAAAAGAGCCAATCACTTATTATTTCCTGCCGGTGTGATGTCTCGTAACAGATCTGGAAAGTGGTTAAAAAACTTGGTTGTGTGAATTTCTTTGAAACCTCAGATATGGTACTCAGAATGCCAGGCCAGCGTCTCTCTCTGGTAATTTTCTCCAAGGTGGACTGTTGACAGGTGGACTGCCAGATGTAGGCCCAGGAGGAATTATTGATTGGAGCAAATGATACTTTCTGAGATGACTACCGTCTTTACCCGAATAGAACGCCCGGTAATGATCGCCGTATCTGGACTGGAAGTTTCCCAAAACACAGTTATAATGACCGGGCGTTCTATTTGGGTGAAGACGGTACCCCTAAGGATTTCAATGTAGATACCTACGGGAACTCGGAGAACATTTGTGCAAGGAGCCGAGGTGGAATGAGAACACAAGGGGTCTAGGGTTGTAGCTTTTGGCAAGATAAGAATTCTGGGGTCAAAAGATGGTCCTCCAGTCCCCGCAGAATCTCGAGAAAGTCCTTAGGTCTGTGGGTGTGCCGTCATGCTACGTAGCCGCCCAGGGCCACCAGCTGTTAAAATAGGCGTTGTAAAATTCAACAGTCAGGTCCAACCGGTTACCCAAGTCCAAAAGTCAAAGATTTCTCAGGAGTCAACCATGGCGGCAGATCACACACAATCCAAAGTGCAATGAACCTCCCGCTCAGTTCACACAACATCCATCACGTGCAACAGAACATTCATGTGAGATTCCGCACTGGAAGCCAAAGCGATAGAAACTTGAACAGCGCACCAGCAACTGCAAAAAGCAACTGCAAAATTATTTTAGTATTATTATTGTGCAAGGAATTGTTCCCAGTATTTGGCGGTTTCAGCCGCACCAACAGTCACCGCCTACTGGGTAAGTAACCGCTCTCTCTCCCTTCACCCCCCCCCTCCTCTCTCTCTCTCTCTCTCTCTCTCTCCTCTCTGATATGGATACACCCGCTTTGTCTCCCTGCACTCCCCCTCTCTCTCCAACTACGATCTACCCTGGACACACCCGGTCTGTCTCCCCCGACCTCGGCAGCTATGGCTGCCCTGACCTCCCGCTCAACCCTAGCTATGGAGGTGCTTAAGCCCTCGACTTCCTTCGCCGGCGCTCGAAGCCCAACTCGCTGTCCACACAAGCAACCAGCAGCGTTTCCGCAACCTGCAACTTGAACAACTGATTTATCTGGGCACTGGAGCAGCTATAAATAGAAACTGTTGACTTGCTTTCCCTGCTGCAGACCGTTACCCGTGGCCTGTGTGCTACGGTCGGCCTCTTGGGACACTGCAGCAGAAGTTGGACTTTGGGACTTGACTTTTCTTGTCGGAACTAGTGGTACCCGACTGGTACCGGCCTACGACGCTTCAACCGGCAGACCCTACGGACCTAGGACTCCAATTGACCTGGGACCGGGACCAATTGGGACTCTGGGACCAGGACTGGGACATGAGTAGCATGAAATCCTCTCACTCCTGAACAACTGATTTACCTGGGCACTGTAGTAGGTATAAATAGAAACTGTTGACTTGCTTTGCCTACTCCGGACCATTACCGGTCGCCTGCCGCCTGTGTACTGGATGTTCCGGATGAGTCTGGACGATCCCGGTCGGCCTTGGGACGCTGCTGCAAAATTTGGACTTTGGGACTTGACTTTTCTTGTCGGAACTCGTGGACATCTACCGACCTACGACGCTTTGGTACCTGACTTGTACCAGCCTACAACGCTTCGACCCGCAGACCCTACGGACCTAGGACTCCGATCTACCTGGGACCGGGACCAGGACTGGGACATGAGTAGGGTGAAATCCTTTCACTCCTGCCGGCCTAATTTTGAGGTCCTCGAAGAAAGATTCCATCTTTTTTATCGGTCAATGACGATAATGCCTCTTTTAGCAGGCTCATAGTATGAGACTAGGTTAGGTGCAGTTTCAGCTAAATCATCTTTCGTGTACCAACAATCGTCTTCGGGTTCCTGATAAGCAAATCTGACTTTGTACTGCCACTGGAGCCTACCCCTTCAACCTGATCTGTAGAGTCGTGTAGACATCTTCTTTGAGAAGTCAGTTGATTTCATATCTGCCGTCCATGTCAGGTGGGATCATAGATCTCCAGGAAGGGAGGCAATGGTTCACTATGTAGGGCAGTACCAGAGCAATGACCCTTCCCCTCAATTTACACGACATCCATACATCCGCAGCAGATTCATGTGAGATTTCACACTGGAAGCCAAGAGATAGAAACTTGAACACGCCACCAGCAAATGCAGAATTATTATTGTTATTGTACGAGGAATTGTTCGGAGTATCCGGCGGCTTCAGCCGCACCAACAATTACCGCCTACTCGGTAGGTAACCACTTTCT